ATAGGGTTAGTTTAAAAGTATGTAACTACTTTATTAAAAGTGAAATTCAATTAAAAATATCTTATATTTTTAAACAGAGAGAGTAATTATTTTTTACTTTCATACATCACTTGAATTTTTTGAAAGCCAACAACTTTTTTCATATTATTCTTAATTAAATTCATTAAATTCCAAACATCCTATCTTTTCTATATGTAAATTTGAGACTATCGTTTTGGAAATAATAATCTTTTAAATGATAATAAAATTTTTTAGATGATTAATCTCACAATTATTAGTAATGATAATATCTTAAAAAACTAAAAAAATAAATTTCAATTTAAGGACACTTCTGAAAAAAGAATTAATATTTTAGACATTTTATGTTCTGATTCAGGAAAAATTGTCCATATAGAAATGTTTTTTCCTTGACCAACCGCGAAAGGATATTGATTGACAGTCTCTCCCCTTGCCCATATCTCCATAGCATCATTTTCTTCCGCTCGTTCTTTTCTTCGTGCGAGCCCGACCATTTTTGTAACTCACTTATTTAATTACATAAAACACAAAATAATTTCCTCTAATTAGAGAAAATAAGGTAAATCAAAATCAATGGCTAAGCATTAGACTATTTTATATTTGCTGGCCTGAAAGAAAATCTTTGTTTCAGATGAAACATTCTCCCTCTAAATTAGTAAATTTAGATTTATAGAGCTAAGAGATTAATGCTGTTAACTATTTTCTATGCATAAGTCATCTCTCTAAATTTATAATTTAACATTATAGATCTTACAAGTGTCCCTTTTCTTTGTAAAGTTGTAAATTTTAGTAGAATATTTGTAAATCTAATAGATTGACTTTCCGATATAAGAGATTAAGTTACATATATTAAGAGATTGAGTTTTAAATAATAATTAATCATGTTTAAATTAAAATACTTATAACAATTTACAATTTGAACATTATATTTACGCCAAGACAAAGGGAAGAGTTAGATTCTATTGGCAATCTTATGTATTTAATATATTTTTATTTAATTAAATTAAGATAAATAGATTTTAATATACGCATGATATTAATATCAAAAATCTATTATAAAATAAAAATATTAAAAAAGAAAGACATGCATGAGAGACCCTGAATATACAGTAGTACAGTACTCAGACACATGGACCCCTCTCCCAGACACATCATTGAATGTTGGAGCCACCTTTGAGATGATTGATTGTTGTGAGGTATTGTGAGCAAATACACCCTCTCTCTTCGCTATTCACTACAAGCTTCTGCTTCCTCTCAATAATTTCAGTGTTCAATCTCAAGTCACAATGGTTTCTGTCGATCTTCTTTAGATTCCCTGTTCACTGTTCAACTTCAGGCTCTTGCCTCGCTTCTACAACACTTTCTCAGGTCTATCTTGTCTGCGTTTGGACTTTGGATCCTTCCTTTTGTGTTTTCTTCAGTTATTAACAATCCTTGCTGCTGCTGTTTTGATTTTGCTGAGCTTCAGCCACTGTATATTTCGTTGTTGTTCTTCTTATATATTCTTGTTCTTCAACACTTTGTTAGCACTGCTTCTTAGTACTTGTATTCTTCTTGTCTCTTTGATCTCTAGAGTCTCATTAATCATTGTTGTTGTTGTTGTTGTTTTAAGACGGGGGGAAAAAAGACAATCTGTGTGCTCAGTGCGTATCTCTACTCTGATTTCTATCTAGTTCCTATAATTCTTCTTCTTCTTCATTGAAAAAGGGATGAAAAACTAAATTTTCTCTCAAGGATACCTATCCAGTGGATTAGAGTTTTGAGCTAGATCTCTCCATTAATCACTGTTGTTCCTGTTGTTGTTCTTCTTTATTCTTAAAAAAAAAAGGAAAAGAAAATACAATTGTGTGGTCTGCTTTTGAGTCCCTGTGTGTGTGTTGATATTTCTCTCCTGTTACTTTCACTTTCTGTTGTTCATCTTCTGGTTCTTGTTCCTCCTGAAGAAAAAAATCCCTGTCAAAGGCATTCATTAAAAAAAAAAAAAAACAGAGAGAACCCAGAAAAAGGACCCCAAAAAACGAGAAGGCGAAAGGAGGCATTCCCAATAAAAGCATAGTGGAAACGCATTCAAAGTTGAGGTATGTATATCTGTGTTCTGCTCTGCTATACAACTGGGTTATAAATTTAGATTATTACTCTATTTTGAAATTGAGTAATTGACACGCGCTTATGAATTTTCTTAATATGTTTGTTACTCTTATATCTGCTTTGAATGAAAGATAGCCCTTCTTCTCTTAATGATCTTATGTATTTAATATATTTTTAATTAATTAAATTAAGATAAATAGATTTTAATATACGAATGATATTAATATCAAAAATTTATTATAAAAAAATATTAAAAAAGAAAAATATGCATGTGTCTTTGTTTAAGACCGTTGGGTGAAAGATTATTAATCACGGCGGCGGGCGGGGGAAGATAAAATTCACTTAATTAGTTGTGAATATTGAATAACTTAATTGTACAACTCAGTTGATGAGCTGCAAATTATCGCAAATTAGTTTTTATATACTCCCCCAAGTCCCATTTTATAATAAACAGTTTTATAATTTTAATTTTTCTGTAATTTTTTTAAAAATATCTTTCATTCAATAAAAAAGATGTATATATATACATATTTTAGGAGTGAAATAATGAGAAATAATTTTATAATTAATTTATTAATTATTATATTTTTGAAAACACCTTATATCATGGAACATCAAATCACTCTATAAAAAATATATATTATAAAATATACTCCTTCCGACTTCATTTATAAGGCATATTTTAAAAGATTTATTTGGTCTCATTTATAATTTATGGTACGGTTTTTTAGGTAATATTTGAAATGTATTTCTAAATTATCTTTTATGAGAGAAAAAAATAATATAACATCACTTTTTAAATTTGTTATATAGGAGTATATTTAAAATTTTACATATTTTTATTCATTTTACTTTTTTTTGTATTAGTATTAATGGGATTAGTAAAAATAACTTATAAAGAGAATTGAAAGAGTATAATATAAAATGTGTATGAGTTTTATATAGCATAAGATGGGTTGTCATAAATTATCCAAAATCTAATTTTTATAAATTGAGAAAATTTTTTTACATAGACCCAATGGATCAAGTCATCCATACTTAGTTAAGACATAAGTTGAGCTATAAATTTTATAGGATCAATTGTAAATAATGACTTGTTGGCAAAAAAAAATATAGGACAATGTTTTAAAACTCTAGTTACTCCTAAATATCGGACAAAAATATGCTCTCTCTTTTTAAAATGAATACTCCCTCAATTTTTAATCATAATAGAAATGTTATATGCCCCTTTTTTTTTATATAATCAAAATTACACATTTCATTGCACCAAAAAATAAATTACACATTTCAAAAATTGTTTATTATATTTTTTCCCAAATCAATCCTGTAAAGTTGAAGTGTGTTTTAACGAGATAAATTTATTTTATTAATTACAAGAATAATTTAGTCAAAAATTTTTAATTTCTATTAGGATAAGACTTAAATAATTAATCTTATATATTTAATATATTTTTTCTCAATCAAATCAAGACATATGAATTATAATGTGTTAATAATATTAATAACAAAAAATTATATTTCTTATAGAATGAATTTATAAAAGATACATACCCCCTTCGTTAAAAAATGTAAGGCATTTTTTGAGAAGTTAAATGTTCAAAAATATAAGGCATTTTTAATCTTTTGAGGTATAATCATTGCCTTTTTTTTTCAAAAGTATCCTTATTGATGAATGATTTTATATTTATTGTAGGATGTTTAATAGGGGTAAATATGAAAAGATAGTGTTAGTTTGAAAATAGGTAGTGAGATTCTGTTAAAAATGCCTTACATTTTTTAATGGAGGGAGTATGTCTTTATTTGATTGGAAATAAACATCTTAAATAAAGCTAAGTATATAAATTTTTTTCTAATTATTATACTTAATCAATTTTCTAACACTACCAGTTTGTTATTTTTCTCTTATATTTAAAAACAAATTAGTGATAGTTACTCTCTCCGTTAATAAGTCATTTCTTTAGGGTTTGGATGTAAAAAACTATATAGCATTTTTAATTTTTTAAAGTGTAATTAATATGCTTTTATTAAAAGTACCCTAATAAATAAGTCACTTTTTATTTATTTTAAAGTGAAATATTCTATTAAATAGGGGAAAATATGGGAAGATGGTGTTAGTTGATAGTGTAATTTAATTAAAAATATCTTACATTTTTTAATGGAAGGGATACCTTTTGTTTTTCAATGTTACTTTTTTTTAATCCTACTAAGTTGTTTGCAAACTTGTAATTTCTAGACGCATTTAATTATAAAATTTAATTTCCGTGACAGGATAATAAATTTTTTAAAAAAATCAAATATTTTTTTACAAGTTTAAGGATATTAATTCGTGAACTTTTTGTCCTTTTTAACATTTGAATCATCGTTTGTTCTTTGATTGGGGGAAATCGAGAAGCAAGAAAGAGAGCCCTTAGATCAAGGACATTGAAATATTTGGACAAGAGGCAAGTAGAGAGTTTCGTGATATTAATATTATTATCTCGCCAATAAATCATTGAAATTAAATAATACATTCTCCGATTTTTTATTATAAAACCATTTCCTATAGTATTTAATACAAAATTCTCTATCTAAATTATTATTATTTTTCTTAAATGTCATATACTTTGATATTTTGTAACTAATTAAATAGCATCCTAAATAGGCGAGGATGGAAGATGTAACACCGTTGACTTCAAGTTAAAACCAAGACAATCCAACAACACACAATCTAAGAAACGGGCAAAAATCTAAAATTAAATAATGACCCAGAATCATTTACAAAGCCAGGATTGTGTTCTGAACTTTGTTTTCTATAACAATCATCACAACAAAAGGGGCTTTTAACTTTGGTGATAAGCCAAAGATGCAAAATTCAATTATAACAAAACATCAATCATATCCATGCATAAACAATATTATTAATCATCCCTAATCAAACTAGAATCATTTTATACAGCCAATAACATCCATCCAATCACCGAGCAACAAGGTTAATAGTTACTACAAAAAATTAGTCTGGCTAGCATCATGCTTAGAGATCAAGAAACCACACACAAGCAAAAGATCATCCAAAGTATTAGAGTGTTACATTTCATAGTATCTCATTGAAATACAACACAGTTACATTTCATAGTATCTCATTGAAATACAACACTACACTTGGTATAGTACTACAGATTTAATAAACCAGCATTACAAAGCTACCAAATGCTTCTTTCATTGGTTGATCCGTGAATGAAGTGCGAAAAGACCTCTACACAAGTGCTTTCCCCTTGATCGCTACAATCCTCACCTGAAATTGTTGGAATGGCGAGTGAGATTCAAAATCCTAGTAACTAAGGTAAACTTCTAGTCTAAACAAGAGTGCACAAATAACAATCTTAAATACAAGTGCAGTAAAGCTAAGTTAAAACTTAAAAGTAAAACATGATGCATAAGAGTTTGAATTTGAAAGTACTGCCACCCAATTTACACACTTTCCTCTAAGTCCCCAATCATGTTAGAGGGAGCACCCATGCATGCAACCTTCTGCAGCTTCCAAGATGGTTTAGGATCCACAAACAAATCATGAGTGACAAGGATTGCACGTCACTTCCACAATCCCAAACTATCAAGTGTTTCTAGAGTCTCTCATGCTTCTTTTCAACATCTTTGTGCATGGGTATAAGTTTAAAGATAGAATCATCTCAAAAGATTAGCCTATTAAAAGGAAGAGTTTCTTCCACTTGTAAACCTCACAATCTCTTGTGAGGCTCTCGTATGTGGAACTCATAATAAGGGATCTTTGTTTAAGAACTGAGACCAACCTATTAAGAAAGAGAGCCTCTTACACTTCTAAGCTATAAATCACACTTCTCTTATGAGACTTCCGGATGTGGAACTCATAACAATGCACCTTTGTTCAAGAATCGAGACCCACCAACTAGAACCCTACACCTACTTGTCAAAATTCTACCAATGTTATGAACATAAATTCAAAGGGAGAGTTCATATCAAAATACTAAACTGTTAGTAGAGAAGGCCTCTTACACTTACAAGTTATAAATCACATTTCTATTGTAAGGCTCTTTGATGCAGTACTCTTAACACTATGTATGATCATAAATTTCATTTATGATGGATTTTGTCATTCAAAATACAATGCACTATATGAATAAGATTTTGATCACTATGATCTCCTTTGGATGCTATTTAAATCTTGGATCATTGTAGGTGTGCACCTAGGTATCACTCTGTAGTTTTTTTTTTTGTTGGTAAATGTAATCTCATTATGATTGGCAGATGGCGGAGATCGGTGCCGGTGCTATTGCAACAAAGTGTACCGATATATTGGTAGATAAAGTAATGAAGGAACTTCCATACTTGTGTTGTTACGAGAGTTATGCTGATGACTTTGAACAGAAAAAAGGACAATTGTCAGCCGCAGTGAAGAGTATGGACATAAAGATAAACAAAGCCAAAACAAGAAACGAGACTCAAATTGACCCTATAGTTAAGCACTGGGTTCAAAGAGCCGAAAAACTTAGTCAACAAGAACCAACCCCAAAAAAATGCTTTGGTTGCTTCTCCCAATGTTCATTGGCCAAGGACTTAGAGCGCATGACGCAAGAGATTCCAACAATAATGGAGAAAGTCGAGAACTTCTCTCAAGTTGCTCATGCAGCCGAACGTCCAGGAATGAAATTCTATTCACAAGAGTTTATGCGTTTTAAGAGTAGAGACTCGATATTTGAACAACTTAGGGAGGAATTGAAAGATGGCAATAAATGTAGGATTGGATTGCAAGCAATGGGAGGATCAGGGAAAACCACAATGGCAAAAGCAGTTGGGAAGGAAGTTGAGAATTCAAAGGTATTTGATAAAGTTATCTTTATTGAAGTGCCCAACCCTGTTGATGAAAAAAAGATTCGAGATGAGATTGCGAAGAAGTTGGATATGCAGTTAGAGGATGAGAAGAAATTCACGCACGCAGAACAAATATGGATTAGAATTGCTAACGTTGGAAATGTACTCATAATTCTTGATGATGTCTGGAAAGAGCTCAATCTTGAGAATGTAGGGATTCACCATGGCATCCATACCTAGGGTCGTTGTTGTATTTTGCTAACCACACGATATGAGAATATCTGTAGGAGCTTGAGATGCCAAAAGACCATTAAACTAGGGGTCTTGCCTAAGGAAGATGCGATGGATCTTTTCCTATCTCATGCCATTGAGAGTGGAAATGATGGTCGTGATAGATTGAAGGTGTCAGCATCAAAAATTGTGAACAAGTGTGGAAGGTTACCCATTATGGTTGTAGCAGTAGCAAAAACCTTGAGAAACCACGACCCAAAAGAATGGGAGGCAGCTTTTGCAGCAACAGAAAAAGATGCATCCTTAAGGCACGGGAATGTTGATGAAGAAGCAAAGAAGTTTTATAATTCTTTGAGATTAAGCTTCAATTATCTAGATGCAAGAGCCCAAGATCTCTTCCTTTTATGTTCTTTATTCCCAAGAGCTTATGATATATCAGTAGAGCTTTTAAGCAGAATTGCTATAGGGTTGGGACTTTGCGGAAATGTTGACAGCTACTGTATAGCAAGAAGTCAAGTGCTTTCAATTAAAACCACACTTGTAAGTTCTGCTTTATTGTTGACTGCTCCACAAGGATGTGTAAAGATGCATGATGTGATTCGCGATGTGGCCCAATGGATAGCAGATGAAAAGATTCAAGTAATCATGGATTCAGAGACAAAATTGAAGGAGAATGTCAAATATTCATCTTGGATCATAAAGGACTTTTCCAATTATTTTGAGGGTAGCAATCTTGAGGTTCTTCTAGTATGGGTAAATGCAAATGGTTCTTTGGAAGTCCCAGGTGCATTCTTTGATGGCATAAAGGGACTTAGAGTTTTGCTTTTGTATTCAAAGATTAAGTATGGGAGAACTTTGGCCTTGTCACTACCAAAATCCATTCAATCTTTAGAAAATATCCAAACACTGTCCCTAACAAATTGGAAGTTAGGTGATATATCCATTTTGCAAAACCTAAGAAAACTCCAGACTCTTGAATTGACTAATTGTTCAATTATTGAATTGCCATCTGATGTCAGCCAACTAGAGAAATTGAGATTGCTAGGCTTGGTACGTTGTTCCGTCGAAAGGAATAATCCATTTGAAGTGATTGGAAGATGCTTGAAGTTAGAAGTATTGTATTATGTTTCAAATGATGACAATCTTAACATTGATGCAAAGCCTTCTGAAATTACGGTTCTTCAAGAATTTGGAATATATCATATAGAGGGCCACTCCTCCTTGCGTTCTTTTCAATTGGATGGTTCAACAAAAAGATATTTCAATTCAACCCAGTTAAAAGGGATCTTGTCTGAGGGCACAGTAAAATCCCTGGCAGCAAGAGCAGAGATTCTTGAGTTAACAGAATGTGATGAAACATGGACAAATCTTATTCCTGATGTGGTTCAAATAAAAGACGGAGGCATGAATGACTTAATTAGGCTCTGTTTGAGATCTTGGCCGGCAATACAGTGTCTAATCTGTACAAATGACATTCAACCTGATGCAACTATCTTCTCCAATTTAGTTCAGCTGCGACTTCATGATATGCATGTGAGGGAATTATGTTGTGGTGATTATCCTAATGACTTTCTCAAGCAACTAGAGAAGCTAGACTTCAGTCGTTGTGTTGAACTAGAAGGCACATTATTCAAGGGCAAGCTAGAGCTGGGTAATCTCAAGTGTATAGAGATAGAGGATAGTTCAATGACATGTCTTTTCCATTCATCCACAGCTCAAAGTCTAAAGCGATTAGAAAATGTGTACATAAGTGGATGTTCTAAGCTGGAATGCCTAATAAGTGATGAGAGATCAGCAGAGCTGCCGAAAGTGGATGATCATCAAGATCCTAATCAGAAGAACTATCATTCAATGCTCCCGAAATTGAAGTTTCTCGAGGTTAGAGAATGTCATGAATTAACATTTATATTGCCAATTTGTTCTTGTAAAGAGCTAGAAAGCGTGAAAATCTATGAGTGTGATGAGCTAAAATACATATTTGGGCATGAGGAGGGAGGACTGTATCAAATGGAAAAAGAAATCATCCTCCCTTTACTAAAAGAATTAAAAATTGCAAATGCACCGAAATTCGTCAACATATATCCAGAATGTTACCTCCCACAGCCTTCCCAAGTGAAGAAATCATGGGGTCTATGCTGTTTTTTGCCAAAATCAAGTGTCTCAAGTAGAGATGGCCCAGCTTTTTCCAAGTCCACACAACTGGACTGTGCACAGGTACTTTTCTCGCACTCTTTTTTGTTGGTATGGTTCTGAAATGTAGTACATGATAATTTTGGCATCTAAATTTTCAAATTAAAATATAATACAAGAAAGTTTTCTAGAAAAACAAATAGGAGGAATTTCAATTTTAATTTCTAATGTGCTTTTCTAATTTTGTAATAGAACATGATCACATGCTTTTTCAATTTGTGAAAGATCTCACATTTTTGTAATACAGGCATTAAAGGAGAAACATGTTGTGGGTAGATCACATGGACTTTTTACACCGCCATTCTACCCATACAAAAGTTTGAGAAAGGTGAAGATAGAGGGATTTTCTGAGTTAAAGTCACTATTTACTCTATCTGTTGCCTCATCATTGAAATTGCTGGAAAAATTGAAAGTCATAAGGTGCAATGCAATGGAGCAGATAGTAATAGACGAGAAGCACAGTTATTATCACATGAATGGCAGTTCTATCAGCTCTATCTTTCCCAACTTACAGCAGATCAAAGTAATCGAGGCTGAAAAGTTGAAATATGTCTTTGGAAAATGTCACTCCAATCAGAAGCATGATGTTCATGTGGAACTTAATCTCCCAGCTTTCAAGGAACTGTACCTTGATGATGTCCCAAATATGTTTAGTATTTGCTCCGAAAACTATTATGTGGAGGCATTATGTCTACGAGGTATTTGTTTGGAAAAATGCCCCCAGCTTCCCTTAAAAACTATTATAGATCTATCAGTTGATGTGCGAAAAAGGCAAGATCTCTCAAGGATAAAGGTAAGCCTCTTTCCAACTTGGTTTTCTAGTTTGAGATTGATTTGTTCAAAACAATATTAAGTACTAACATATCTTATGACACAAGTGATTTAGATTTCCTTGCGCAATTTTAAACCTGAACATCAATGTGGATAAAATTTATGATGTTTTGGCCAACTTAATCTAACATAAGCAGTAGGGGCTTTCATCCCTTAAGCAAACAATTGACTATTTGATTTCCAACTCTTGAGCAAGAAGAAAATCTAGTTAGAAGGGATATATCTTTTGCCCTCCATACTCTTTTTTTTTTTTTTTTAATATGAACCGAAACCTTCATTCAATAGAATGCAACCAAAGAAAGTACAAACAGGAAACAAAAGCACAAAAACCTAAAAAACCACACCTAATCAGTTGCCCTGCGTACTCTGATGTTGCCTTGTTTCTACTAGAAATAGATGCGGAATACTCCTAGTATCACCAAAAAAAAAAATTGTGATTTTGTGAAGATTGCTGCTTCTCATAGCTTATGCTTGTGTGCAGGCACGCGTGTGTGATCTTTGCTTCTCATATTTTGCATGTGTGCGTCTATGAAAACATAGGCTGTGACACGATAGCTTGCAAGTTTGTTTGTCACATCAGACTTGACTTTAATAAACTTTTAAGCATGAAATTTTGCTGCATATATTTCATTGTTTCATTTATATTTTTTATCCAGACTCCTTTCGTTTATTGAAGTGTTTAAAATGCTGAAAACTTATCACATGTTTCTATATAATTCAGGCATCAAAGGCGAAGTCTATTCCCAGTACAACTCATGAATATTTCACACCAACTTCATATCAATGCAATTTGCGAGAGATTGAGATAACTGGGTTTTCTAACTTAACATCACTCTTTACCCTATCCATTGCCTCATCACTGAAATTGTTGGAAGGATTGGTAGTCAAGCAGTGTGATGCATTAAAGCACATAGTAACAGACGAGGGGCATGGTCATGACCATATAAATGTCAGTTCTATCTTTCCCAAATTACGACGTGTTTATGTTGTTAGTTGTAACCATTTGGAATATATATTTTCAGCTTTTTATTCAAAAGACTTTAAGGATTTGGAATTTGTGAGCATTGTGAAGGTTGAAAGGTTGAAATATGTGTTCGGAAAGTGTCATGCTGATCAGAATCAAAGTGATCAGATTGAACTTAATCTCCCAGCTCTGAAATATCTGTACCTTCGTGACGTACCCAATATGGTTCATATTTGCACTGAAAACTATCATGTGAAGGCATTATATGTAGAAATTATTCATTTGGAAGGATGTCCACAACTTCCCATACAAACTTTTATAGATTTCTTGGTTGGTGGACATAAAAGACAAGATTTCTCAAGGAGAAAGGTGAACCTCTTTCAAACTTATTTTTCTATTTTATATATGATCGATCACCTAAAATGAGTCTATAGTGCTAATGTATCTCAACCATACTTACAGGCATTATCTCTCAAGGAGAAAGGTAAGCCTCAGTCTGACTTGCAAGAGTTGCCTGATTTTAGGGATATAAGCATGGGGCCTAAAAATTATCTGAGCTTTCGAAATCTCTCCATGCTGAAAATGGAAGGATGCAAACAATTGAAATTTACATTGTCTGCATCTACTTCAAGAAGCATACCAAAATTGAGAAGCCTAATTGTATCAAACTGCGAGGAGCTAGTGAGCATCATTGAGGATGAAGAGAATGAGGTAAGGAGAGAATGTTTCCCCGAGCTACATAAAATTGAAGTGAAGCAATGCACGAAGTTGAAGTGCCTATTGTCTATGTCCACATGTGGCAAGCTTCCACAGCTCATGTTCTTGATCATAGAAGATTCCCCTAAGCTTGGGCAAGTATTTGGGTGGGAGAAAGGCACGCCACAAGAGTTGGTCATGAAGGATGTGCTTCCAAGGCTATTTGCATTAAGACTGATAAATCTACCAGCTCTTCATACTATCTGTCAAGGAATTGATTTTCAAAATGTGAAAATCCGTATTGTGCATCATTGTCCTAACATCACTTTAACTTCAGCTAATGCCAGCTCCCGTGAATGTAAGTATTCACACACATAGTTAATCACAATTGCTAGCTGCTATCATTTGTTCTCATAATAATGAAATTGTTTTGTTTGGGCAGTATTTGATGTTCATAGAACATTACGAAATGATCAGATAAACACAGATGAAGGCTACTACTACAATACATTTGAGATTTTCGACTGGGCTCTCAAGGTCAGTATCAAACTTAATAAAATAGCAGAATTGGATGGAAGTGAAAATACACAAGGGGACAAGGAAACAACAAATGATAAATTTTACACCAAACTTTAATAAAATACATCAAGTTGACCAATACATAAACAAAAATGTGCCTCACTACAAATTTTGGTAGAAATCAATGGACCAACCACTTTTACTGTCTTTATTGGTGACTTAAACTCATTATTTTCTTTATATCTTTGTTTAGAGGGAAAATGAAGAATCAAAGGAAGCTCTTGAGAGAGACAAGACAATATCTGAACAGAACAATAGTTCTCCAGAACTAGCAAATGTATATACATTTTACTTTTTTCTAAATTTATTTCTCTCTTAATTATTGTCTTCTTCCATTGTTCCAAGTTTTAGAATGATGTCAATATTTCTTGAAACTTTTTTTGGTGGGCTAAGTTTATTAGATTTCAACTCATTTTGTCTTTTTATATGTTTTGTGATTGTTTAGAGTGAAGAGGCACCCAAGGAGGTTGCTAAAAATGACACCACAATAGACAAGCCAAAAAGTAGTTCATCAAATTTGACTGAGGTAAACATTATGCTTCATTATAGCAAAGCAGTCTCATAAACCAACAAACGGTTTCTCATTCAATAAATGTATGATAAGCTTGTTAATGAATTAAATCATTTAGCAACTCATTCCTCAACAAATACTTCTCTAATTGTGTAATGATAACTTCATCATCATCAACAATAACAGCAAGCTTTATCACACTAGATGGGATTGGCTACATAAACTGCACGATGTTATTGTATTCTATCGGCATCTAAGTCTTTGAAAATATTGTTAATCAAAATACTATTATGCTTTATCAGTAACTAAACCTTTGGAAATATTGTTAAACAAGAGGTCTTGTTCAACTTGCATGAATGTTCTCTTTGGTCTTGCTCTGCCCCTCTTTATAAGCTCAAGATTATTTATTCCACTCTCCTCATCGAGGCCTCCCACGACCTTCTTTGTATATGTCTAAATCATTTTAAACGATTTTCTACTATCTTTTCCTCAGTAGATGCCTCGCTCGTTTTTTCTTGCATGTACTCATTATAGATTATGTGTGTCCACACATCCGTCCCAACATTCTTATATCTACTACTCCAACTTTATACTCTTTTGGTTTTCCTTTAAAACCCAACATTCACTAACATGGCTGATCTTATAACAATTTGATAAAATTTCCTTTTAAGCTTAGTTGGTAACTTCCAATCACAAATAACTTCTTTGACTTTTTTCCATTTAGACTACCCAATTTGTATCCTATATGTAACATTGCAATCAATTTCACCATCATTTTGAATAATCGCTTTCAAATATCTAACGTTTCCACTTGTGGTAAGACTTGATCTCCTAGTCTATCTTCAAAATTACTATTAACTGACCTCTTATTAAAATTGTAATGTATATATTCCGTCTTACTTCTGCTTAGGTGGAAGCCCTTCGACTCTAAGGTCTTCACCTATAACTCAAGTTTGGAGTTCATCTCTTCTCTTGACTTCGCAACAAGAACTATGCCATCTACAAAAAGCATGCAATTGGAGATTTTCTCTTAAATATGCTTAGTCAGAACATTTAAACTGAGGTCAAACAAATGAAGGCTTAAAGTTGATTCTTGACGTAGGCCGATCCTTATAGGAAAGTCATTATAGCAATGACAACATCATCTGATTAAAATATTGAGAGGGTCATTCCACAACAAATACTTTCACTTTTATTTTCATTGACCATCTATCAACTATTTAGTGGAAGTGGAAATAAATTGAGGTTCTATCATTAGCAAGAAGAGGACTTTATTTTCATTATATGATTCCTATCTTTATTAATGACTCCAGCTCTTTTATTTTCCTATATGTTGAGTGAATAATTATTTTACTTCTTTATATTTACTATTATTGTTCAGATTGAAGAAAAAGGATCACAAGAGGTTATTAGAAAAGACTGGACAATGCCAATTCGGAACAATGGTTCTCCAAATTTGGCAAATGTACGTATATTATACTTAAGTATAATCAACAAGACTTAAGAAACCAACTAACAGTTTCTCTTTTACCATGTCCTATTCATTTTTTTCCAAATAAATCAATAATTTTTTATTTTGTGCACTAATATTTATTATGGTTATTAATAACTTGAAGACTCAATTTAACTTTTTTATACATATTTTGTTGTTGTATAGAGTGATGAAACATTGAAGGAGATTGCTGGAAAAGACTCAAAAACAGACGAACAGAATGCTAATTTGACGAAGGTATGTAAATTATGCTTTTCAATAATAACACAAACTCAGATCAACAAATAGTTTCTCCTTTAATTAATAAATGATGATATTCTTCTTGATTAATTTAACTTCTTTAGCAACATATCCATGTTTTCTTGGCTGCGCAGAATTCAAAAGCATCAGCAAATAATGGAATTGTTGAAGAACAACTTTCTAGTTCAAATACAACGACAACTCTATCATCTAATTCAGATATGGTAAAGATCTTTTCTCAACAAATACTTTCATTAGTTTATTTATTGAGTGAAACATCTTACTAAAAATGATTTTATTTTTTATCTCTAAGAATGTGTAGGAGCCTTTGATGCACTTGGTTATCAAAGTTGGCGCTAACAATAAGCAAATTAAAACAGAGTAGAAAAAAACCAACAAATGGTTTTTCTCCATACACATACTAAATTTATAGTGTACCAACAACCAGCAGTAAATGAACTTGTTAAACTCTTTTTGATATACCTGTAACGATAAGTCCATCATCTAATTTAGATAATTTAAGAGCAAATCCCTGACAAAACCTTCACCTGTATGTTTGTTGAGATCCTGTCAATAAAGTAGTATAGGAGTTTGTAGGAGTCTCTAATGCATCACTTGGTTATATATTACAAATTTGGCTACTAATTAAAGAATATCACTTCTAAAGAGATTGCCTGAAATATATTAACTAATTTACCAATTTGTGCTATGCTATCAATTGCTAAAGAAACAATGAAGCCGAGTGTTCAAGAAGATTCTAAATCAGATGAAGTTAACCAAGCAAATCAAATAGTGGATTCCCAATTAAGCAATGCATCACCAACAACATCTAATATTTCTTTAGAAAATAAGTCTCCACATGTGAGAATATAGCTAGGTTGCATAGATACGGGTATGAGTATCTGATATGATGCGGCATGATACGGGATACGGCAAATTTTCAAAATTTTAGAATACAGATACGGGAATATTTATAATATATATTTCAACATTTTATGATATAAGTATAGGTATTTTGATTTTTAAACAAAAATTTCTAAAGTAATATAAGGATATTTATAGTAATTAACTAAAATATTAAATGTTTTTTCAAGTTTTTAAGTGATATAGTAAAAAATTATTGAAAAAAAAATCATATCACAAATGTTAGAATATAGAATATGTATGCAGAAGTATCCTACAAGTATTGTATCGGATACATATCGGATACAGGTATGTTTACTTTTTTGAAGCATCCATGCTACATAGGAATATAGTCCTTTCTGATATGGGTTTAATTTACAAGCTAAATGACAAAACTTTATAATTGTCTTTGCATATATATGTTCATTTAGGATTCACAAATTAGGAAGCCACAATCAAAAGAATCTTATTATATCAACAAGCTCAACCATATAGGACCTGATATACATCCTAATGGTTCACACAATGTTAACAGAAGAGGGGAGGAACATGTCACTCATGGATACTTAAGTGAACAGGGACTATGATAGTGAGGTTAGAAGCAGAATGGATAACAGTCTCTATTGTGGCAAGCTGTAGAAGTATATATTCTCAAGAATAGTGAGGGTCATTGTTTGTGTGAATTCATGCTAAATATAGGTAGAGAAAGCAGCTTCCATGCAGATGCGTGGGTTTGTGCGATGTGGTTTAAGTGATTCTCCTAGGATATGGGTGTAAAGAAAATGGTTCTGCAGATGGATGTGATGACCACTTAACTAGTACCACAAGCGTATGGAACAAGAGTAGTAATATAAGAGAACTAAAGGTAGAAGAATAGGGAAATCCAAAGGTGAATTATGCATGAACGATTTGTAAAACATACATGATGACATTAACGATAACTCTAGCAAAGGAAGCAATATTCAAGAAGCACTCTAGGTTTCTAATCCCCCTTGCACAATGTAACTCAATTTCTCTTGATTATATATCTAGTCTACTTTCAACTTTAGAATCGTAGTTTTTAATTAAGAATGAATGTCTTTTGGTCCATTCATGCCCCTATTCTAGCTTAATTCTATGATGTCATATGAAAAGTTAAGAAAGCAGTACAATCCTTATCATGATTACATAAGGCCCTTGAGTATATTATCTATATCAATTCCAAATTATTATATATTCTATTTCTAGGTATCCTAATTAATGGCTTGTTACAAGTTCCATTTTTCATAGGCAAATTTCAACGCCCAAGCACACTAAATTAAATAGGCCTATCACTGGCATGGGGAAGACAAACTCAGATTAATTACAAAAGCATTCAATAAACAACAATAATGAAAGAAAAAACCAACTAAAAAGCGTTAGTGTTCATAGATTCCTAGAGTTCACAAATATTCAGCTACAGTTAAACTCAGCAAAAATCTCAAAGATAGAAGAAATAGAAGAGCATTAGTAAATTTCACCTCAAGAAGCTTTCCAAGACTCTCCGATCTCCAATCTAGCCACCAAACCCTCGCGAGCAGCTTCCCATCACTTCGAGAACCTTACAGAACTCTCAAAATGTTGTACCCCCGTAAACCCTAGCCTTCCTCACGCTTTAAAGTAGAAAAGTAAAACTCTACATTTTGGATCCACAAAACCTGCCTTAACTTCTACCATGATAGGGCTTGCCTCTAGTATAATGTTAAAGCATCAACAAAGTCCTGTTACGGCCACTACCATCTCCTCTGTTTTCGTCTTTAATCTTCTAATTTCTTCATCCAAATCAGTCCACTCTTTACAAGGGTCCCCCAAAATTGTAAATGAAATTCAGAAGATGCGATCTTGACAAGGCAGTATGTATAATGCATCGTGACTGGGAATATGCCTAAAGAGGTTGGGAAGATTGTCTTAGAGGAGGATTTGATTGCGCGAAATAGTTGTTCATCAAGGCTTCAATGAGTCCTTTTGTAACCTAACAACGAATGTTCTTCCAGAGAAGCTTACAAGTTATTTGGTGTTGTGCAGAATGTTGAAGCAACTGCTGGAGAAGATCTTTCATCTGAGAATCATGACAAAAGAAGTTCATCAACTCATTCTAAACGAGAAATCTCAAATCCATGCACATTAGCTTCTACCAAGGTAAGTATATCTCGTCAGTTTTTTCCCCCTTTGCACTGATGTCTATTGGATGAAACGTTACTGGTTTTTGATCTCCTCAATCTCATTCTCTGACCTCAAGAAGTCTCAAATAGCAACTTCAAGTGCTCATCCAAGACTAGGGAGCTCTCAAGCTGACCCATTGGATGATTCTTCAATTATTGACTCTGCACAGGTAAGGGGAAAATAACGGGTTAGTGAAGTATTAATTATTTTCTTTTCTTTTTTTCTAAAATTGGCCTTCATTAATTTTAAGAGTTAGAGTATAATGAGAGAAATTACAAAGAACCATTAAATGATATGTCTAGTATACCATTTAAATAGGGGTATTTTTGGAAGAAACTTTGATTATGAGACAAATTGATTGAGCTTGATTAACTTAATTTGATTTCTTGATTCCCGCTAAGTAGTTCTCTTCTTTTAACTAAAAAAGTATGATAAAACATATGCTTTCTCAAGAAGTATGACAATACAATTCACCAAAAAAAAAAAGAAGAAGGAAATATGATAAAACAGAGTTGAGAAGGCAACATGTGCTTTCTCTTCCAATATATTTGCTAATGAATTTAACTTCTTTAACAACTTATTCATATACATGGTGTGAAAGCACCAAACATTACATATAATTGTTGAAGAACAATTTTCTATTTCTAATATAGTAGCGATACCTATTCTATCATCTAATTCAGATATGGTAAGATTCTATTCTATATATAGGAGCTGGTAAGATTCTCTAACAATGCACCATTAATGAGAATGTTTCTTTGTGGTACGTTATGCCACAGAACAAGAAGACAGTGGAGGCAAGTGTTCAAGAAAGTCCAGAATCAGAGGAAGCTGTTAGTACAAATAAAGTTAATGATTCAGAACCGAGAACCATGCCAGCACCAGTTGCTCATCCTTCACAAATTGAATCTCCACATGTAAGATTGTCACCCTTTTTATTCAAAATAAATTTAAGCTGGCTCATGTGAAACAAGTTTGTTGGTAAAGAAAGCCAAGAATGAAAGAATCGTGATGGAGCACCACAGATTGGTAGAAATAGGACTTTACATGCATTCTGATGATTCACAAATGTTAAGTCTCTACAAATTATTGGATTATAATGCTTAAGTGATGTCTTAGAAAAATTCATTGAGATTAACACTATCTTTACACCGCACTGATTTTTACACAATCACCCCTTTAACTAAGTGCCATTGAGATTAATTTTTGTATATTATTGACGATTTCCAGGTCTCTTCAACTTGTCCTCATAAGAATGCTAAAACAACTACTTCAACTATTCACACAGAAAACCTATCAGACATTTTCGATGATAAATCTACACAGGTAAGTTAATACTTTATTGATCTACTACATGGCAGAGCAAAGTTCTGTTCCTTACCATATATGTATTCGAGAGGTCAAACTAGTAACGCTTCTTTCTATTGATCTCAGGATCAAATCATGGTCAATCAAATCGAGAATTCCATTGATGTTAAAATTAGAGACGACTATGCAAACCATAAGCAAATTGAGGAAGATGATCTTGTTAGATTGTTTCGGGTTATGAAGGAAAGTGCTGACATGGAAATTAAAATGCCTTGCAATTCTGAGATTGCTGCTTTTGAAGATGACGAGGTGGCTAAGACCTTTGCTGACCTAGAATCCTCATTGAAGATGGATCTGAATCAGATAGCTAGCTCAGATGATCACAGTCATCGTCTTGAGAATGCCCTCAACTTCCTTTCAACCTACTGTTCTTACAATGGACCTCTCTTTCATGGCCTCAAAGGCAAAATAGACTCTCTCCACCATGAAATCCGAAGCACTGTGTTTTCCTTCAAGCAAGCTTCTGCTACCCTTGAAACATTCAACAAGCTTGAAGAAAAAGAGAAGTTGATCGATGAAAAACATGCTCAACAAATGGAGGAAGCCATTGGTCTTGTATCTAAACTTCACAATACTAAGAAGTGTATGGCTGAATTGAAGGAGCAGATCTCTATGTTACAGGCCGACTTGAAAAGGAAAGAAGAGGAATTCAAAGACTGTGAGATCAAACTCTCGTCTCTTCAACACCAAAAAGAGAGAAGATTTTCAGACACCATGGGGTTCATGGAGGAGTACGAGGCTGTGAAGAGAGACAAATTCTATATGGTGGATGGCCAAGCAAAAGCAAGACAAGATCTTGAGAGAGTGAAAAAGGAATGGCCTTTCTGTGTAGTCAACTTGAGGAAAACAGTGCTTCTGCTAGAAATTCTTCTTCAGCGGAAGCTTTAAGTCTTGGAGACTATTATGTAAATGACCTATAAATTATAAAAAGAAAGTAGAAATTTCCATTCAGAATATTTTGTATTTTTTGTTGGTTGGGTTGTAATATTATGGTGATTTTCAGTTTATTCACAGTTGGCTTGGGATTCGGTTTGCTCAAAACTCTGTTGCATGTATTGATCTGTTAATAGTGAGGTTTTCTCAGGACTTGGTTCAATGGCTTTCATCTTCTATATTGATATTCCAGTATTCTACTAAAAATTGATCCAACTTTTTTAATTGCTCACATGTTTCTCATGCAATCCTGTTTGAGATAGAGTTGGACACTAAATGTATAAGCACCTTTCTCAATAACAAGTTAGATCTTGATTCATACTTCATCATAATGTTAAAAACGAGCCATTCCGTTATACATAATTGATATTAGAAAAATTGATCCAACTTGATCAAAGCCGAGCCGTGCTTCAAAACCTATTTAACCACTGGGTTAATATGGTAGCGGGGCCAGGCTCAGATTTGGGCTTGGCAGATTCTCTATCATCATTTAGTGCAAAATTTTTCATAAAGTCTCCACTTGAAAAAATTCATGCAGAAACTTTGTTATAAAATTTAATTAATTATAATGCTTGGTTCAGGAAAAGTTATGAAACATTGCTCTCAAAAAAAAGAAAAATATACGTGCAGAGAAAACTTCACCAAAAAAACCTCTATGGGTCAATAGTTTTTTTTTTTTTAATTAAGAAAAGTTTAAGTGAGTCAAATCCTTACCAATTAAATCAATATTTATTAGTGACTATAATATAATAACTTAATAAGCACACTATCAAGTCCCACCCAAAGTCACATACATCATATATGCATGATACATTATTAAGAAATGTATTTGGAGGGAAAATATTAAGCATTTGTAATCCAAATTTATATTTTATTATAATTTTTTATAATTTTAAATTCCCTCTAAACTTTAGTTATTGCAATTTCAAGTATTCCAATTCTTTTGTTTTTTTTTTTCACATTTTTACTATTGGTACTTTTATTATTCTCCTCATTCCTCTTGTTTCTTGTTCTCATCTTTTATTGATTGAAGAATATTTACAAGCTCATCACTCCCGATCTCTCCTTTTGCTTTGAATCTCAACTCATCTCTCATTTACTTTACTTATAAATTTTTTTACACTATTTAAACAAAAATTTTAAATATGTGAATTTTAAATATAAAATTTAAATTCAAATTCATCAACTTAAATTATGCATAAATAAATAAAGCTAACTATATACCGACTACGAGCTTGCAGAAGCAGTTCCTCATTCCATTATTGCTTTGCTTTTTTTTTTTTCCTGCAGCTTTTTTTCCTTTTGGTCTTTCTAATTTGTTAATTTTTGTTCATCTTGTTTGTTTTCTTTGTTTGGACTCCTGGAGTTATATTTCTGCAGTTAATACATGAAGATTTCAAGGTTTAAAAAAACTAATTTCCTCACATATTAGCAATAAAATTTAATCTCACAACCTTATAAGTTATGGATCAAATCATTATGAATTAGACAAATCTTTGTTGGCATTTACTCACCACATAACAAAAAGGATTTCAACTAAAACTTATGTTACATTTAGATATAGTTAAATTTAGATTTGGATCAAACCTCATTTGAATGCATGGAAATTTTATAATTTAAATTTGATCCAAATTCAAGTATATATTTTATTATAATGTTTTTATAATTTTAAATTGCTTTTATACGTGAATTATTTAAAATGCTAAAAACCTTTTCATTCTCTTCCTATTTTCATTTCTCATCTCCTTATTTCATTGTCATTGAATTTAAAATTTTTTATATTACATAAATAAAGAATTTTTAAACACATGAATTTTAACTATGTTATTTTAAATTTAAAATTCAAATTCAAACAAGCCAATCCAAATGCTACCTTAATAATTACCAAAATAAAAATAGAAGACATGATTTATAAGTTTATTAAAATATTTTAGTTATTTATTAAAGGACTAAAATACAAATTTAGCCCATATGTTTATTGATATATACTACCGTTTTTCAAAATCAAACAATTTTGCCCTCAACCAACAAAATGACCTAACGTGTTCATCTTATTAGATTGGGTCTATATATTATCGCCACGTGTGCAGGAGACTTTTTGACCATTCACATGTTTGTTGGTTTATCTGTCTTCTCCAGTCTCTCTCGCCTCAGTCCTCACACGCACACTTCTTCTTCATCTTCCTTATCATCATTTGTGTTCTTCATTCTACAATTAGAAGCACTGAGCGATGGATCAAATTGCACACAATTAAGGGGGGGATCCACAAGTTTTATGTTTTTATTCACTGTAACATTCTAATTTTTAAGTTTTAAATTGATTGTAAAAATTAAGGTTTGATTGTGGATATAAAATTTGGATTAATATTGTTTTAAGGTTTGATTGGGAATAAATTTGCATTTGCTGTCATTTTGGGTTAGTCACATGTTTAGGTACTTATTTATGCTTAAATTGGACCTAAGATGATATATTAGGATTAAATGAGGTCCATAATAGGTATCAAACCAAACTAGGCTCAAATAGTTGGCCTTAAGTGAGGAGACCTAATTTATGCCATACGCTGTGATGCACGATGTGTCTATCATGGTACATAGCAGAAGTGAGGGAGTTTAGTGAAGGAGTTTAGTAAGGTTTAAGTGCAACTTTGATGATTATATTGGATAATGAGGTTATATGAGTGATTAATTAGTATAATGATGATAAGTAATTATGAGTATGTTTGAGAGTTTTAATGGTTGTGATAGCTTGGAGTTAATTAGATTAATTAACCTAACCTTAGGATTAGGGTATAATTAGTATGTTGACACTCTGATTAGCTATAATCAGCATTGTATTAACAATCATTAGCGTCACGTTGTATTTGCTTATTCAAGGAGCTCCAATGGCAAGGAGTAAAGGTAACTATGATTAATACATGATGGGTATGTATGTGTGATTTTCCCATGTTTAGAAATTAAATTATGTTTGGAAAGTATATTTAGTGTTTGGAAAATTTATGGCTAAATGGAATGATATGTATGTATATGCATTATGTTTAGTATGAAATATTGTGTTCGGAAGCATGAAATTATTTGGGTATGGTTTTTTTGTTCAAAGATACTTGTGACATGCATGACTTGTCAAGTTTTGAAATGTGTGTTGCATGGGAATTTTGTTTAGAGATTACCTACCGTGTAGTTAGCTCTCATTAGATCTAATAAGTGACTATTAGCTTGACATAACTTACCTCTAGCTAGGTGTGTTGGTTCTGGGCACAATGTATGAAGGGATATAACATGTTGTTATGCGTTTTCCTTGTTTGATTGTTTGGAGAGCATGTGTTTGGAAACATTTTGTATATCTTGCTTAGTAATCGTATAGTTAGTTGCATTACATGAATCATTGTACATTAATTTTGATTACTGGGACCTTTGTATCTCATTTTCTATTGTTACAATTTTTTAGAAAAGGGACCAGTTAGGAAAGCACTCAAGGCGTAGTTGTGGTGTGTGGAATGTAACATCCTGATTTGCCAATTAGAAATTAATTTTTGAAATTAAGGCTTTGTTAAGGATTTAAAATTAGGATTTATATTATTTTGAGATTTTGATTGAGAAATAAATTTATGCTTGAGGTTAATTGAGATAATCAAATGTTCAGGCACTTAATCATGACTAAAGTTAGGCCTAAGATGATATATTAGGGTTAATTGCAATGCATAACATGAAAATTTTGATAATATTTTTGTTGTGAAATAGAAGGAAAGAAAAGGGAATTTTGAGAGTTTTGATGCAATTTTCAGTAGCTCTGTTAGGGTTTGGAGTTTCTAGCCCTAAGGCACGATTTGAGGGCTCTAATCACTTAAGGTATCCTCTATAATCTCATATATAACTTCTAATCCTCTCTTCTAGTTTGGTTGAGTCATGGTTTGGGTTTGGGTTTCGTTTTTTAGGCTATTACAGTGATAGGTTCGAATTTAAACGCTTGTTTGAAGTTAAATAAGTGTAACTTGAGTTGTTTTAATGGTATTTATGACATTAGGTAGCTTGAATCTAAAAACCCTAGACTTGGTGAATGAATTTTGATGATGGTATTAGGATAATAAGATTAAATAGGTGATTAATTAGTGTAATAATTATGATTATGAACATGTTTTAAGGTTTTAAATAGTTGTGATAGTTTGGTGTTAATTAGATTAATTAGCTTAACCTTAAGATTATGGTGTGATTAGTGTGTAGACACTTTGATTAGCTATAATTAACATTGTATTAATAACAATTAATGTCGCATTATATTTAGATTGTTGTGTTGACATCATTAGTGGTAATAGTCTTTTTGTTTGGAGAGTTCTAATATCAAGGAGGCAAAGGTAACCATTATTAACGTGTGATAGGGGGTGTGTGTGTAATTTTGTTGTGTTTGGAAATTAAACTGTGTTTGAAAAATATGTCTTAGTGTTTGGAAAATTTATTGCCAAGTGGGATTATATATATGAATATAGATTATGTTTGGTATGAGACCATGTTTTTTAGAAGCATGAAAATTGTTCGGATATGTTTTCTTGTTCGAATATATTTGTCACATACATGACTTGTCGGTTTTGAAATGTGTTTGTTAGGGATTTTGTTTGGATATTACCTACCAAGCCATCATTGGACGAAGTGAGTGGTTATTGACTTGGAATAACTTATCTTTGGCTAGGTGTGTTGGTTCCAGGCATAATATATAGAGAAATATAAGGTGTTATCATGCATTTTTCTTGTTCAGTTGTTTGGATAGCATGTGTTTGGAAGCATTTTGTATGACCCACTTAACAATTACATGGTTAATTGCATCATATGCATCACTGCAACATTTTATTAGCATGGTAAAATTTGTGAAAAATACTTGTTATTCCTTCTATCATGGTATACTTTTCTATCATGGTAAGTTTTTTAAAAAGTTGAAGATTGTAATAACTAATATATTTCAAGAGTAAATCAATTTGGAAAATTTGTGCGTTACATTTTGAAAGTTGAGATTTTAGATAATGATTCTTTTATTGGAGAAAATGGTAGGAAATTTTTTGTGCGTTACAGTATGCACACCCCTTTAAAAAAGGAGTTTAAGTATAAATCTATCCTTAAAGTTTTCATGTAGGCATAATTGGCATCTTTAAGGTTTGTTTTTTTTTTTGGCATAAC